TACCCAACATCATCTGAGCTGGTCTGGCCTGACAGTAAGTATGAAATTTCAGTACATGTAATTCTGCATCTTTGAGCAGCATCTCTCTTTCTCTCTGATAAAACATGATAGTCTGCATGATTGATATTGTATTGACCACAAAACAATAATTCCATATCCTTTTTCCTATTAAAGATGTTGGGGTGAAGAAGGCAGACTAAAGCTGGTAGCAGAAAGGTTTTAACCTGATCTCTGGAAAAACCACTTACCATATCAGAGCTGCTGCTTTTCCAGGCAACTTTACAGACAAACTCAGCAGCAGTGTCATTTCTCATGCCCCCAGGACATAAACTGATCTCATCAGCTGTGGCCCACAGAATATCTACCACATGAAGAAGAGCACTGAGCAATTATACTGGACTACATTTGAATCATCTGGTTTTGCTTTCCATGAACAAAATCCACTAAACCAGTGGAGGCCAAACTTTTTGGCAGGTGGGCTACAAGGTAAGTAGAAAAGTGGAGGCCAAACTTTTTGGCAGGGGGGCTACAAGGTGAGCCCCACACCCTCCCCACATACCACTCTGATCTCCTTCCCCTGGATTTGTTTCTCTGCTCTGTGCCCTACCTACCTACCACTGGGTGCATCTACACAAGAAACTAAATGAACAGTAGACTAATTCTACTGTGTGCTGGTGCTACTGCGCAATAGCGCTGGTTACTGTGCATTGAGTTAGTCCTGCTATTACAGGTACTATACTTAATGTGCAGTAAAAAAGACACATTAATAAAAGTATAGAAATGCCTACTGAGTTCCCTAATCCCTCCTCAATCTGCTGCAAGGCACAAAGAAGCTGCCTGTGCCAACAGTTTTGCTCAAGCCACTCCTGCACTAAACAAAATGCTGACCTGCTCCATTAAGGCAATTCTTATGGGCAGAGAGGTGGATAGTCCCAGGCCCTGATGGCATAACTGATTAAGAAAGCTTTACTTCTATACAGGGATATAAGATAAGGTTAGAGTCAGCCTCTTGAAGAAAACCCCTATAGTACTTCCATTCCTTGCTTTGTATAAAATGACTGTGGGAGGGAGGGGCAGGGAGAGGAGAAGAGATAAGGAGAAAGAACATTTTGCTGCTTCAGCCTCCTATACGTTAACATTTATAAAGTGATTCTTTGCTACTACAGTATTTACTCTCTAAAACATTAATGACCTATAGTGTCTTGTGGCATAGAAATATCCAAATACACCATTCCTTGTAATACATATTTAGAGGCTGCTTTCTCCTGATTGCTAACTTACACCTGTAAAATCCAGGGTCCCTCTGATGCCTGCCCATCAGTGCTATGTCAGGAGAAATAACAAAAGCAATGCTGTGGTAGGTATATGCTGTACAAGACTGGCATTGCTGATTCAAGGGCACACCTAGGTAGTGTGGGGTTTGCTTTGCCAGCACAAGAGTGAAAGCCAGGTTAAATGCCCACAAGAATAACAGTTTCCACTTTGTACTACAGCTATTTCCTGCCCTTTAGGGGACAGGGATACCAATGCATTTCAAAACAGGGAAGTCTCGCTGGATACCATAAACAAACAATGCTTTATGTAATTGAGCCTTCTGGGAGCATTCTGCCTGTGCAATACTGAGGGCCTAGTTTTCAAAAGAACTAAGCCCCCTTGGCTATTCCCAATTTCTGAGGGACTTGTAGGCTACAGCCAGAGCTCTAATATTAGACATTTCAGTACAGTTTTATTATATCTTTGCTCTCTCCAGGCCTGCCCCATCTTAGCAGTCAGTGTCACATAGATAGATATATTTATCTTAGCCAGCTTTGCTTATCTTGACTTTATCTTAAACTAATCAATAAAATCTAGAGCATCACAGTTGGAACAGCATCCCGGACTATTAGCAAGACCAATAAAGCCTCATAAGGACAGACCTACTAGCCACCAGTGGGCAAGTGAATCTTGAAATCTTAGACTCTGATTGGGCTGAGCAAGCCATGCCATTACAGTATTTAATATAGTTCTAATTAGCTATGCCACAATCCTAACAAATAGGCTGACATGTAAACAGGCTTCCAGTGCCTGATCAGAAAGGATTCCTGGTTTTCTCTGATTGACAATAATCCCCAATTTTCAGTTTAAAATAAAGTAACCCAAAATCCACATTGTTCCATGATTAAAATGAAACACCACTAATATATACATAGATATTAGTGGTGTGTCATTTTAATCATGGAACAATGTGGATTTGGGGTTACTTTTTCTAAACTGAAAACTGCAGATTTATTTTTTTTTAAATCAGAGAAACCAGGATCCCTGGTCATCAGAGTATTCAGATGGAAATAAGGATTTATTCAAAGTAGGCCTCGATTTTCAAAGAGGGAAGCCTGAGCTGAGGCACCCAGTGTGGTGGCGTTACATTTGCAGAAGCAGATCATAGCTGCCGGGTGCACACTAATTCTGCAAATCCAGCCCCACTCCCCTGTTCAGGTGCCTGAGGTTGAATATCGGAAACTGACTTCTAGCCCCCCGCCCCATGTTTGAAAAAACTGTGGCCTAATTCTCAGCCAGATTGGCTAGTTATTCTGTGTATCCCTGTTCTGAGTCATAATTTTTCCCTCTAAAGGTGAAAAACAACAACATGTCAACCACAGGTGATCAGTCTCCTCTCAGTACAATAGCCTGCTGCTCAGTATAGTAGCCTGTGATGGGATAGTGACTCTTAGAGGCCTGCTCAATATAGTAGCCTATGATGGGATAGTGACTCTTAGAGGCCATCTCCCTGGTAATATTTGGCTTCCCAAAGAAGCTAGGACAGAGTGATATTTCTGTGCAGCAGGCCCTGTGCGGTCTGTCCTTCCCAAGAAACAGGCTCTGATGAGGTGAAGCTGGTAGTAGCCTGATGAGACTGTTCCATAGCATCTGAATAGCCCCTGGCTGCGTTTTTTAAAAAAGAGGTGATCTCCCCTTGCAGACAGGGTGTGTGCAGTTGACTAGTAATGACAGTTACTGTACGTACTGAACTGGTCTTACTTAATGCCAAGGAGAAACAGAAGCACAGCAATTTTGCCTCAGGAAGATCACTGAAGTGATCAAACCACATCCTTTCAACTCTTCTCTATGGCAAACCCCTTAGTTATTTTGTTTGTGACAAACCTAAAGAATAGCTACAAGAGACCAAAAACTACAAGTCATACATCTGTAAAATGCAACAGGTAAGTACAAAATACAGAGGATGGGAAGAGGGACTGTACCTACCCCAGTATCCCAAGGACCAGACCAGAAACCAAGCACTCACATAGTTAACAAGAGAAAAATGATTCAACTGTACCCTTCATGAAGGAGGCAGCAGAAAGCCTGTGGCCATAGTGGTGGCATACAGTCAATTAAGAAAGCCAGGTGAGGATTTGTCAACAGTCTTTAAGCTTCGGATCACATAGTTGCACATCACACAATTATTTTGTGTAAATGTGTCAAAAGGAAATTAATTCTAAATCCAATCCCAGCCTAACATGTTGCTGCAGTAGCCTGATTTTGCTACCACTCATTCTGATACTAAAATGGCCTGATTAAAAATGTCCCCAAAGTTCCTTAATTCCACTATGCTAACATATCCTGTCTTCATAGACACTGACCCGTTTCTGGCAGAATAATCTACAGTCCACTAATTTGACCCAGAATCCCTCTACTCTCTATTATAGCTATACCCTATTCTTGACCACTCAAGAACAGCAAATACACAAACACAACTTAGACCATCCACAACACAGCTGCGGTGAAGTCTTCATACAGTTACAAACAGGTAGGGGGAAGACATCCTGATTTCATTCCCCTGAGCACTGTCTGGCACTTTGTATACATATTAAAATAACATTATTGAAAAAAAGTGTTAATCCTTGCTCTTTTTTTAAATACTTTTCCCTGTACCTTCAGAAAAGAGATAATGTAGGAAACATAATACATACTCCATCTGCTCCTACTGGAAATGTCTAGTCTCTTAAAAAAAAGGAAAAAAAAAAGAGTAATATTTAGCACTGGGTTCAATCCAAACCCTGGGTTTCTCTTGAGTATGCCCCACACTCTGCCAGGAACTGCTCCACATTCTCTGGTGGTGGAGGGGGTTGGGAAAGGTTGTGCAATGGAGACTACTGTTCATGGGTGCCCCACCTGAGGACACAGTAGTACTCAAGCTGACCAGGTTTTGTGGTCTTTCCATCCTCTGCCCCTCCCCGAGATAGACTAGGGCAGAGAGTTCTCTCTCTGGAGCCTATTGCAGGATAAGTTTTCCAATGTAGCCTTTTTCGCTATTTCCTTCTCTACAAAGTGATAAATATGCTGAGGTAATAAATTTTCCACTGGTCACAAGGAAATGCTTATCAGAATCATTTCCTTCTAAACCCTTTTCCACTTGTCAGCTCAGATGTGGTTGCTCTTATCCTCCCACCCCACATGGTCATGTTCCTTCACAACAGTCTGCAGGCTTTACAAATGTACAAGAACTTTTAAAGAGGTGCTGCATATGATATCTTTCAGAATAAACACCAAGGAGTCACCCTGAGAAACACAGCAAACAGAAGGCTGAGCCTGATTCTATGTGCACTCACACCCCACAAGCACAAGGGACAGATTACACAGCTCCTGTACTTGTGTCTTGGAAACCCAGTCCCATTGCTAGTAGGTGAGTATTGGTGATACCAGTCCTTCCGTTGTGGGGACGAGATCACATGGATCTGCTGTTTGAGGACCAAGTGGTTATGTGTCCCTCCATGAATCCATGAGCCCCTTCCTCCATATAGGGTACACAGAATGCAACATACACAGGTACTCTATCTTCTGACATGCTAGTGCAATAACAACACAACATTTCTAGTATACTGGGGGCTCCCATAGGCACTCAAGGCCATTCAGGACTTGCAACAATGCAAGTAGAGCATGATGGTACATGCCTCCTGAACACCATATGATCAACTGTGTGTTTAATTTTATATAAGCAAACTAGATTTAAAAAAGGTACTTACACAATCTCGTCATTCTGGAATTCAAGCTCTCCACAAGTATCCTCAAAGTCTTCTCCTCCGCCTTTGGCTGAGCCTTCAATGGTTTTGTAGGGCACGATAACATTTCCTCGGGCTCCAGATGTTCTTAGCACTTTCACTTCCATGGTTCCAACACTCTCACTGATGTGAGTGACAGGCTCCTCAAAGGTAAAGATGCCAGCATGATCATCATCAAAGATGGTCACTGTGGCAGTAGAGGGGGAGCCCAGGCAGGCCAGCGTTGCTACATGGTTGGCTTCCAGAATGCCCTCATCCAAGGCTTCAGAGCTTACCCTCACATTGCTGAGGTGAACAAGGAAGTTCTCATCCTCCTCAAAGATATCATCATCAATTATGCCGACTCGGATTTCTTTCTGTGTCTCCCCCGGTTTGAAAACCACAGTGCCTTCAGTAAACTCATAGTCAGATCCGGCATTGGCTGTGCCATCTTCTGTTCGGAAATCAACATACACTGTGTTAGTCAGATCGCCACCCCGCCGAATGAGGGTCAGTGCAACTGTGCCACAGTTCTCTAGACACTGGTAGGTGCCCTGCTCAAAGCAAATCTTACTGATAGGGTCATTTTCCGCCACCTCACTGTTGACCTCGTGCATGCTGACTGCTTTCCGAGCTTGGTCAGCAGCATGCCTCTTCAGGATGTTGCCCGCTCCAGTCATTAGTCGAGTGGCCTGAATACGATAAAAGGCTCGACTCTTCTGCTGTTGACTCAGGACTTGATAGTTGGCTAGCTCAATTAGTTGTTCTATTTCTTTGTCAGGGTGTTTCTGCTTCAGTTCCTTCAGGATCCGAGCCATTTCCCTCCTGGCTTCCTCATCATCTTGGTCCTTCTCATCAACTTCTAGAACCAGAGTACCATCCAAGAAGTTCTCTACATGGGAATTAATCACTTTTCCATCCATTTCAATGTCAGCTTTGGATGATGGCCTATCACCTTCATGTTCAATGATCATGCCTCTCTGCTTGCCTGCCCTATACCTCTTGTAGACATACTTGTAAAATAAAAGCCTTCTGTCTGCCACCCATGCAAACACCACACAGATGGGAAAGAAGAAAAAAGTAAGCAAGCCTTCCCAGACATCCACAATCCCAGGAGATGAGACAGATAAAATAATGTAAAGCCAAGTATAGGCAAAGATGCTCCAAGCTGCTGTAACAAAAAACACTCGTAGGTGCTTAATCTTCCTTATCTCACCATCAGGGACCACGTAGACACAAATTGCTATGATGATGAACATGTTAAAAGCAGCACTTCCCACAATGGTGCTGGGCCCAAGATCTCCTGCTGTGAAACCATGACCACACACTTCTATAACAGAAAGAAGAATCTCAGGTGCTGAAGAGCCCAGAGCCATCAATGTTAAGTTGGAAACAGTCTCATTCCAAATCCTCACTGTGGTTTTGCTGGTCTCACCATTGGGCTTCTTGATTGTTATCTCCCTCTCCTGAGATGTAATGACTTCTATAGAGGACATGAAGCGGTCAGCAATGATGGATACCCCTAGGAACATATAGACCATAGCTACAAAATACACTGTAGCTCTCGCAATTTTATCACCAAATGAAGGGTCTTGGGGCTCCCATATTGGTAAAATGATGCCCTTCTTGCAAATATATGAACCAGAACATTCTGATTTATTGGCAGGCTCTTCACTTGGGCTTTCTGCCAGCACTTTGTCCACATGGAACAACAGAAGTGCCACAATACTGAAAAGATGAAAGCCTGAAGGGAAGGTGGAGGAGTTACTTAATTTCAGCATGGTAGCTTTCTCTGGCCAGCTTCCAAGTGCTTTCCAACCTGCAGACAGAATGGGAAGAAGTGTTATCCAAATCAAACTTCTTTACCAAAAAACAGTTGTAAACATTTTGACCTGTTATACATGTTCAGTGAGCTGCATATCACTTATCCGACAGGAGAATCATAATACCACTGGAACTAGGCTATCCATATTTACCCAAACTCAAGACTACTTTGAATATGAGAGGACCCCCCCCACCCATAATTAGATTCTAGATATAGAAAATATAGACATGTGTTAAATTTGCTGTGTCTTAGACTCTAATTATTAGAAGGTTGGTTTCAATTCATCCCCCCTACCTCTGCAGCAGGGAAAACAGCATAGGGGGGCAGGAAGTGGAGGCAGTCATGACTGAGGACAAGCAATGGGGAAGGAGGAGAGGGGAAGGCAGGGGGAAGAGGTAGCACAAGGGACAGAGGCAACAGAGGTGAAGGCAGGGAGGGAGAGGCAGTGTGGGGTGAAAGGCAGAGGCCACAGCTCCAACCCTGATACTGAGTGTGGGTTGGGGCCAGAACCATAGCAGCTGCCTGCCCCCCAACTCTGTACCTGAGTCCAAGATGATGGGCTTCCATCACTGAATGTGGGTGGGGGGACCTTGTCTTGTATTTGAATAAATATGGAAAATTCTAAATGCATGCACGTGTTAATGTTAATTTCTGAAGTAATATTCTCCTTGTTCAATTTTTTATTAACATACCATCATGTAGTACAGCTGGTAGAATTGTTTTCAATTTCAAATTTTCAGTGAAATAAATCTTGAAATTTAATGTAAAATTCTCCAATAAATGTAACTGTCTCATATTTTTGCCAATTTGTTATTACTACAAAATGAATTCAGAAATCTTTTTAGACTTCAAGTATATCCATACTCCTTGCACAAGTCTGTTTCAGGGTCTGGAGTGCCACATCAACTGACTTGCGGGGCTCCCCACGGGTCCAGAAATTTGGGGAGGGGGAGTGATGGCACCATTCCCTGGCTGCCAAGTTTCAAAACCTATGGAGTGCCCTGGGCCATATGCAGTGCATTGGAGTCCTGATTTCAGTGTGCAGGGCTGGCAGGAACACTGCCAGGCCCCAGTACCCAATCCTAGAATGCAGGGGGTGGGAAGGGGTGGTGCTGGATGCCAAGAGCCCAATCCTGATGCAAAACGGGGTGGTGCCAGGCATCCAGGGCCTAACTCCAGCACACAGGGGTGGGAGGGGACCATATCAGGCCCCAGGGCTCAATTTGGCCCACAAACTAGCCTTACACCATTCTGGCCTGCAGGGCCAAAAGGTTCAGTTCCATTGGTCTATTCCATATTGAATGTGTACATTAAGTAAATAAAGTCATACAGTTGACAGCTGTACAAGTGCTCAGCTAGGAACTGAAGGTATATGTGTATTCTTACATCTGGCCCTCAAGAATATGCAATATGAGAGTCTTAATACCAGAGAAATAGCATGTGATCATGTAATTAAATATATCAAAAAGGTCTGGACTTTCTTTAGCTAAAAAGCACCTACTATGTACCCATGAATAATTTATTTTTGTATACCTTAGGAGGGAGCCCATCTCTTGCTCACTTTCCTTCCAGAGTTGGGCTCCCTCCCACCCATCTGGACCCTTGGCCACTACACTTACACAATCATTGAGGCACTAAAGACAGGTCCTGGTTCTGCCTGGGGACTTCAGCAGAGGACAAGTCAGATTCTATTCCACCTATTAGGTGTGTAAGGGGAGTTGAGTTCCTAGAGTACAATTCTATTCCACCTGATGGAAGTCCCTGAAAACAGTCAATGTAAAAAGTGAGTAAGTCCTTCTCCTCCACTCTTTTTCCCAGCTGCACTTTTGTGACTCAGTCTTAAGGGTCAAAAGGTGGTACAGTACATTATAGAAATAGATATATTAATGGATTCCATATATTAATGAATTCACAGGATAGAACTACACTTAGATGGCGGAAGTCCACTTAGATGCCCACCAGGTAAAACAATCTGACCCTTAGTTACAGGTTGGCTGACTGAAAAGCCCTCTTAGCTGTGCATAAATGCAAAGAGCAGTCACCCATAGGTGTACAACGACGCTCAGTGAAAAAACGTGAGCATGGTCATTTTATCCTTTTCAAATGAAAACTAGTTCTTTATTTTATCAAGAATATGTCCTCCCTCCATGAGGGCTATTCCCATGTTATATTCCTCTAGCTTCCCATTCCAAACTGTCTTTGCTGTAAGGATGGTTAAAGTTTCTGATTGTATATTTTCACTCTGCTAATCCTTATGTCTTTCATTAAAGTGTGAATAAAAAGGCACAAAATGAGCATGGAAAGTTTCAAAGCAAGTCACACAAGACTGAGAAGAGAAGGTTGCAATGAAGACTGTTATAGTGCTTAGATCATATACAATGCTTTTCTTCACTAGATTTCAGCATACTAAAGTGACTATTATGATAGTATTTCCATTTCAAAGATAGGGAAACTGAGGCACTAGGAGGTGAAATAACTTGCCCAGCTTACCCAGAAGGTCAGTAGCAAAGTTGGAAATAGAACCCAAGGCTCCGGGAAGCCAATCCTGTACACTATCCACCAGCTCTTTTAACTTCTACCAGGTCACAATAAGAACAGCAAACACCACATTGGAGCTGATCACTATCTCAGCTGCCCTAAGTGTACTGCACACCATCCCACATAAAAGTACACGCTGCTCAAATTTCACTGGAAACAGGATGGATCATGACAGGATGACCAAGATAAAAATCATGTCCACCAATTGTTTCCGAGGAGTCTGCTTACATGTCCTGTAACAGTAAATGTACTTTGAAATCCTGTTTAGAACACAGCATCTTTTTCTTAATGAAAGTTTCCTTCTTCCTGTTTCTTGCTATATTAGAGAGCTGGTATACCACAAAAGCCTAACAGATGGCACAAGCAGCAGTGCTGAACATAATGTTTAATAGTCAGATGCCAACTCCTGAGAATGATTCACCTTGGTCATTCCAAAAGAAGAATACATAGTGGCCTCGGGGACTCAAATACCTGATTGTCCCAAGCTATGATTACATGCAAATGACCATATGTCATGCTAAACTGAAATGGCTTCTGCCCATCAGAACGCAGGCTAGGCTGCCTGGGAAAGAGAACAAGAGCAAAGAATTAGGAAAAAACTGCAAACATGGCAAAATTATTTAGATGACTCAAGATTGGCAAAAACTGTGAAAATCCTGGCAAAAAAAAAGCTAGGAGACCAAGGCAGCTCAAAGGCAGATGAAAATCAGGGGTGATAAATGTGAGCTATCCTAGCAGTTATTGGCAGACTTTGAACCTTATATGCACTTTACTGGGTCCTAAAGTAACTCCACCTGCTCAGCAAAACGACTTGGGTGTTGCCGAGGACACATCCGAAAAATCCTCTGCTTAGTTTGTAGCAACCAATATCACAATGAACAGGAAACTGCATGAAACACAATTCTGAAAAATATTCTAATACTATTGTATAGGTTACAATGAGTTACATCACCTGCGATACCATGGTTCTTTCCAGTTTATTTTGAAAGGGTGATAGCAAAAAGTACAGGGGTGTTAAGGAAGGATTAGTTAACACAGTGTCCCTTGTGCATGGAGAGACTGAAATAGACTGAGGCTTTTTAGGTTACAGAAGACAATGGTGCTACAAGAAGTTCCCACTGCTACAGAGGCAGATACAGTTCCTTAGAACTGCAAGTGTGCTGCGCTGAGGGAAAGCCTGCTTCAAGACTAATAGAGGCTGGTTTTAGCACTCTTATTATTCAGGCTGTTAGAAAATTAGAAAAAGAGGTGTTTTTTAAAGTGAATACAGGAGCCATTTCATCGCATACCACTAGATACAGCGATGGTAACCCTTTAGAAGAGAATTTTACTAGGTATGCAGCCAAACTAAAGTGAATTTATGCTCATTCCGCATCTTTAACCAGAACACAACTTAGTCAATGTCTAACTATTTTGCTTGGGTGTTATGTTGCTTCAGACCAGGTCATAAATAAAATGAGATGTGCTAAATCTGATATGATAACAGATTGACACAGCATCCTTTTTCTTATTATAGGTACATCTGGAATGTTCTAATTTCTTTTTACAATTTGAATTCAAGGAGAAATTTTGTAATGCATAAACATACAAATAAATACTACGCTGTTTTTCTAAGTCATGGTTACTTATTGCAGGGAGTAGTTGTTTTAATCCAAAGAACAAAAATATCCCCCCTGCCCTTATTCAATAGATTTCCTCTTTGGGGCCAGTCAGATAGTCTTGCATGTCTAAAATTATTCAAAGCAACCAGCACTGTGACATCCCCTTGGCAAGAGAAGAAAACAGATGTTTCTAGAGAAAATTTTATACTTCGGGTCACTGAGTTAGGTTATATAGAATAGCAGTCCCATCACACTTTGGATCAACTCCATAATCTTAAAAGGATGGATGCATTGGTAACTTTAGTCAATAAAATTCCTCAATGGGGATTAATAAATCACTTGAACTTTATTTAAAGGGTTATTCTCTGACTTCAGCATAGGGTCCTTTTTTAACTTGTATTTCAATAGACAATGACAATGAAGTGGAAAATATTGCCACTTGAGCCATCGTTCTGGACTTGTATTTAGTACTCTGTGTATCAAAGGGAAATTCCATTTTTCTGGATATTGCGTGAAAGGAAAAATCTGGAGCTTCTCTAGAGAATCCTGTTATACAGAGAGTTGGCAGAAGCTCTGAAAGATGAAATATAATCAAAACTAATCTTATGTGTCAAGACCTTTTTCTTCCTCCACCCTGGAACAAGCAGCTTGCAAATGGTGAATATCACATCTGCAAGATGAGCCAAACCAAAACCTATAATAATTATGCAAAAATGCCTGGCATAGTCCCTACTTAGGGCCTCAGGTACTACCACAGTTCAAATAATAAAAGACTGTGTGCAATTGCAATAAATGGGGTTTGTATATAAGGGTACTGCAAGCCAGGAGTTTTCTTGGTCCAAATCCAAGCCAGAC